TTTGCTGCACAGTGTTGTGGGCAAACAGCAAATAGCAAAAGGATTTTGCTTTAACATACGTGCTTAAATTATGAAAAGCGAGCTTTAAGAATATTTTAATAAAATCGTCTGCTTTATGCTGCGGTCAAATTGATATAAAATATTTTTTAAAATCGGTAATGGTTGTGGAGCCAGATGGACGTGCTTGACAGGGAATGCCCTCAATGGAAAGTGGTTTATTCAATCTAGAATGTGATTAGAGAAAGAGAGAGAGAGAGTATTGGAAATATTTTTTGAGAGAAATAGTGACAGTGAGTGGAGGAGAGGGATAGAGTGAGAGATAGAGGGACGAAACATCGATTACAAAAAACTGTTATCGAGACACGATCCTATGAAGTCTAGTAAAAAGGCAGTTGCCCTATCAGACAAACGAATAGACGGAAATGGCAATCGATGACCTGAAGTTTGATCCCCGTATGGAATTAGACAGCGTACCTACCTACCTATCCCCAAAATCTTATCGAAGGAAAAAGAAGCTAATGGCCAGGTCGAAGGAATTCTAGAGGGACGACAATGCAGATAGACGCACGGATGGATAGAAAAACTATCGATGATAGCGAGTTAGACCCATCGAAAGACAAGCACATGAGTGAGTAGGACAAACAGATAGACAGACAGAAGGGCGGACAGATAGACAATTATAAAGGCAGACTCATCGATCAGGCTAAGCGAACAAAACCCATCAGGAATATAAAGTATGGACTCAGCCACGCCCTCTTCTGCTCATTACACACACATTGCATATATCACATATCACGCTTCAACAGAAACCAATATACCCTCCGGCTTGGCTTGAGGGTAGGTGATATAAACATAAATAGTTACGCAATTATTGCAAAGCATATATGTTGTGATTAGATGATTGGAGATGAGCTCATATCCGCATAGCCAGGCTCAGGGGCAGTCAGGGAAAACCTGAAATGAAAATGCTAAGCGTATAAGTTATTGGCTTTTAACACCTTTTATTTGGGGTATGAAAAAAGCAGAGGAAGAGCAAGTTGGGAAAGCGTGTAGCCATAGTGGATGGTTTTGGTCAACCTCGAAGTCACGGGGAGGTTACATGAAAAACTATTAGCATTTTCAAATTTTAAGCGGATTAAGTGCCGAAACGAAGAGCTCAACTCAAGGCGAGGCGGACAAAAATAAGGGTGAACTGTGGCAGGCCTATGCATGTCCCATCTGGTTCGGCCCAAACCCAAACAAATAAGTGTAGATGAGCCTTGTCGGCTTTTGCTGAAATTCAACTAATTTGCGGCCATCCGAACAGCTACCGACTGATGGGCCGAGGGGAGAGGTTGCGGGGGAAATTAACCACACTAAAGCAAATAAACAAAAATATATCAGAATAAAAAAAAAAAAAAACGAAAGAAAACGCAAAAAAGAAGTGAGAATCTCTGTGAGTGGATGATAGAGTGCGGAGGGGTGGCGGGTAGAGGCTAGGGGGTGTTTCGCAGAGACTGTTTACATTGCAAAAAGCATTCGAGTGCAGCGCAAACAACATCAAACAACAACAGCAACAACAACAGCAACAACGGCGAACAGACAACGCACAGATTGGTCATGCAACGCTGGTGGCTAGGACTTTCGGTTGCACGCATTTACCAGGCGACCTCATAGAGGTATGTTTATACACGTTCGCGTCGGGGAAGGAGAGTATATTCGTTATGATATGCATGTAGGTTAGCTGGAGATTTTCGATTGAACATATATGTTCCCTAAGTATATCTAAGTATATTTAAGAACTGATTCATGTTTATACAAGCTTACTTGAAGTGAAGAGAGTATATTGCTTCTATGTGATTATGGAAGATAAGACTTGAAAGTTGGTATATGTTATACTCTTTTCTGTATTTACTTCATAGAAAAAAAGAGAGAGAGAGAGAGAGAGAAGGACCTTTACAAATGCTCACTTCTAGTGAGGAGAGTATATTTGTTGGTATATTTCAGTATTTGTCTGTGTAGGTCACCTATAGACTCACACCTATAAATGTATATACATATATAGTCAAGTATCTGTGTCAATCACGTCTCGGCCATATTATAGGATTTCTGGTTTCTGGGTTATGATTGCATTTCTCTTAGTTTGTCTGACTATGTATAGGTAGACTGAAGATCTTCCTATCTCATAGAGATCTCAGAGCAAGGCGTATATAGGTTCGTCTGGATGCGTATTCGTCTCTTAGTCAATCTGTCGATCCTCGCCTAATGAATTGTTTAGTTTCCTATATTCGCTTACATCGTGTGAGTTTATGTTCGTCTCTCTGTATAGTAAACAGTCTATAGCAGTATCAATTCTATTCAATACCAATCATTTACAGTTCTATAGTTACTGAGATTTCATTTCCATAGACTTGTTTCATGGGCTAATCCTTCATATATCCAATCTGTGTGTCCAAAATGATGAAAAGGCAGCACTTTGTTGACGAATTTAAGCAGCTTGATCGTTATTGCTCCTCTACAGAAATAGAGATCGATCTGCTATGTATATAAATGGGTCTATATCAGTGGCGTGTATTGGATAGTCAGTTGCGCCCGCCTCGCACGCTTTACTAGTTGTTTTAATACTATCAGCACTGTTGTCAGCCAGTTCTCTTAAGCCCATGGCCACTCACATTCACTCTCTCTCTCTCTCTCTCTCTCTCTCTCCCTCTAACTCTTACTCTCTCTACCTCCCTCTCTCTTCTGTCGGACTCGCTCGGGGCTGTTGTTGTCAATTGAATTGAATTGTTTTGCCTTTTTGCGCAAATGTGCGGCAATCAGAGCGCGGAGCGTGAAGTGAAGGCATGTTTGTTTGCCGCTTGTTTATTTGTTTGCCTGTTTGTAGTTCTTCTCGCTGTTTGCCCTCAGCCACCCCCACCGGCACCCTCAGCACTCCCCTCCCACCCCGCTGTGACTTCCGGTATGGCCAGTGGCCTACCCATATGCACCTAGTGCCAAGTAAATTGAAATCGACACAAAATCCGACATTGGCCTCCTGCGAGTGCAGCTGCGTGCAACAATAACTTCAACTCACTCGCAAAGATAAGCTCACTGAGGACTCTCTCGAGCTGCTCTTCGTAGCCATGCACGAAACTCTTTAAAGTGCAAAGCTGAGATTTTATATCCGTAATAAACTCTGCTGATTCCTTATGGCATTAAGGCAAAAGTTTACTGTTAATTAAAAGTTCACAATATTTTGTAATTCAAGCATTTACCTCATCATTACACTCGGCTACAAAATATGATTTTTATAGGGAAAGTGTTGATGAGTCGATAGTGAGATCAGTTGTGTGCGTGAGCTTGGAAAGTGGGTTTATTGCAATTAGAAGAAAGTGGAGAGCAGGGAATAGAGGAAATTGAAAAGTAAGCAAAATCTCAGGCTAAAATAGCTTTAATAATACCTTTGAAAGCATTTTATACTATATGAGCATATAATAACGCTTTAATCTGGCCAAGACAGCATAGCTCATATAGTAAGCAAATAATAATAAGTAATATAATATAATAATATATATTAATATAATAATAATAAATAGAAAAACTTACAATAAACTCTCTTCTTCCCTCAGTAGTAGCTGACAAAAGCCAATACACTCTTCTTGCTTCAAGTGAATGGGCATCATAAAGAGCTCGCTCGCTTTTCTATTATCTCTTTCTATGCTTTGAGTTTTTCTATAATGAAACTGTCAAGTTTTGCTTGTTAATCCTTTTATTTTTTAGAGAATAACTGGAATGACATAAGCTAAGCTGACGAATCCTCTTTGTGGCACAGCAAAATTTCAGTGATTTTTTCTCTTAAAGTTGCATTTACTATATGTACTTATATTTAAGCAAATTAACAAGCAAACATGGGCGGGTAGACTCAGTGTAAGGCGTGGGTAGTTATAATGAAAAATGGATAATACGAAAATTAGTCCCGAGTCCATCTTAGCTAGAGCAATGCTCTCCAAAGCAACAGCGAAAACAAAAAGATTGAAAAATATTTAAATTAATTCCATGACAGCTTCGCCCAGGCTATAAACCTATTTACATCTTTGTGTCTCCGTATATGTATATTTATTATTGCTTATAATTTCATTACATATTTTGTCTATTTTGGTTGTTTTTGCATTGCCAGCAAAAATGTGTCGTTCAGTTTTTTAATTATCGACCTTTGGACGCTTCAGCATAATAAAGCGCAGAATGTGAACGTTTCGCTTTTGTTACTCCAGCAACAACAACAACAACAGCTGCAGCAGCATCAGAAGGAGCAGCAGCAGGAGGAGAAACAACAACAACAGCAATGGCAACAAAATGCTGACAAACCGTGCGCTGTCTTGGTGGCAACAGTTGCCTTATCAGGTTGACCCACGACCCAGGGCAGAGCGCGCGCGTGGGCTGAGGGCAGCGCGAATCTGTTTGGTTTTAATTACACGCAACTCTGATCCACGGCGCCTCCTGCTGTATTTTGATACTTCGCCGTGGAAACACGCATGAGCTGGCAGCGCTGGCAGCGCTTCGAGCATGTTGCGAGCGAACATGTTGCGAGCGAGAGCTGCCCCTGCGAACTGAATTGCCGTTGCCTGAGCAGGGGAAATGCAAGACAAGCCAAAGCAGCCAAACTGCTGCCTGAGCAGAGTTTTAATACACCATAATTTTTGCTATAAATGCTATACAAATACAAATGTAATATAATATATAGCAAACAATATAATTTGCATTTAAATAAACAAACTGCGATCGCCTTGCCTTAGCTAGGCATTGCCCCTCTCTTGAACAAGCTTCTGAATGCTTGAATTCGCCGCATGTCCAATTTGCTTGGCGGCGAAGTTTGGCCACATGACAGTTGAGAGCGCAGCCGATGCGTAGCCTTGTCGCGCTCAGCGTCGCGACGAAGCGCACATTTGGCACGACGAACGACTTTGCCTCGGTCGCACACGAAGCTTGGCCGAAAGGCGAACCGAACGAATAACGGTAATCGGCAGCACGCGCTCAGCGCTAAAGTGTTTAGTAGAAAGTGAACTCTTACACAAGGCGGACACAGCGAAACGTGACGCGCGCGTATTCAATATATGAACGGTGCATGCCCAAAAGCAAGCTACAGTTAAAGATACCGTTGCTCTAGCACCCGTTTATGCGTGCGATTGTGCGTGTGTGTGACTGCGGTGCCAGTGCTGCTTACACAGCTGCTAATATGTGGAGTGGAATCAGTCAAGTACTATGAACTTAATTTAATTTGCGAGCTAAACGAATGCATAAATAACTGTGAACTGATAACGGAAAGTGTTTAGAAAGTGCAAGTGTACATCGATACTCCCCCCAGTAGCACCCATAAAAAAGGTAATAAATATTTATATGAGAGGCAAACACTCATAATACATATATTTGTCGATTATTGAAAGTCCTCTTGATTTCTGGCATGTCTCTTGACACTGAATACCACATTAAGGAGTATAAACGTGTACGTGCTAAAGAGGCAAAACAGGCCAACCAGCTAGGCAGCTAGGCAGCCAGGCAGGCTAACTGTCCTTCTGTATGTCTGTCTGACAGCCTACCAGTGTTTACATTTTATATTTTATGAGATAATACCCCCAACACCATAAACAGAAAGAGGCAGCCGAGGCAGAAATGTGCATTCCTTGGCCACATTCACTGTTGCCAAACAAATACAGCAACAATAACTGAGGCAATAAAAAGACGCGAACGTCTTTTGCACTGAGGCTCAGACGCCAACCGCCAGCCGCCAGCCACAAACTTGGCCAACAGACGTTGTAAGGAAACCAATTTTCATTGTTTTGCGTTGGCTTAAGGCGGCGAATTGTGTTTTGTGTTTTTTTGAAGGAGAATTTCCATTCAAGACGCAGAAATTGTTGTGCAAATGCCAAAACAGACAAGAAATAAAACAGAAAAAAAAATAAAATAAAATACTAAGAGAAAGGCCAAAAAGAAAGCTAAACTGTGCAAAGTGCGAATAAACACATGCGTCGACGTGTGAAAAAGCAAATCAAGTCAGACAGAGTCAAGTCAAGTCGGCTATGAACGACATGAAGTTATCCTCTAAATAAAATTAAAGATAGAGAAACAGCTCCTCCAGGGAGCTACCCTCTAAAAGATCAGTTTTATCCGTAAATTCTGTAGTAAGAAAAGTGAATGAGTTGGCTTTAGCCTCGAAAGGAAATGAAGACAGAGATAGTGCTGTTGTAAAAAGTGATCGACGTGGAGATACCCATTACTTCTCGACTATCTAACTATGTGAAACCATCTATATGTAAAATTTATATACTTTTAGCTTAGATATATAGTATTAAAAGACTCCACGCCACATTTTTAGTAAAATAGGTAAATAATTAAATAATTTATAGAGCTGACGATGAATAAAGACATACTGTAGATAAAAACCAAGTGAACAATTTGAGCCTTCCATCTCTTAGAGGCTCCCAGGTCCACGTGTTCATACATAAAGGTACAAAGGCGGACAGCAGGACATACTGATTGACGGATGGACAGGGGTAAATTGACCCCAATCAAGCATCTACGGTTTCGGTCTAAGCTCCTTTTGGTCTACATACATACATTACCGCAAACATTATACCCTTTTCAATGAGGGTTGAGGGTATAAAGAGAAAGGCAAACAGTAGGCGACTATGTCTCAACTTGGATATTGCATGTACTACGACGACTTTTATTCAATTCCAAGATGACGATGGAGACCTCAGGCGAAGGATGTTTGGACGGAAAAATGGCCAAAGGAAATATTTCTGGCTGCTGCCTCTAATAACGCCAACACACATAGAGGGAGCGCAAGAGAGAGAGAGAGAGAGAGAGAGAGAGAGAGAAAAGGAGAGACACACACACAGGGACAATTACCAGAGATAGATATTTCCATTATGTTCTGTGCGGAATTTCGGGAATTTGAGCAAAATGCTTTGAGGAAGCGCACAAAATAATCCTTAATTATTATGAGGAGCAGCGCAAATTTCGCAATGCATTGCATAAATAAGTCGCTGCCAGCTGTTGGCATTAGCATTAATTTGAGCACCCGCTTAGGCGACTCAATTTCGTTTTACGGGCCTAAACCACATTAACGGACCATCGAGGGCCCAGGACTGGAGGACTCACGTTCCGGCGAGCTGTCTGCTTAATGCAATTGATTTGTGTTGACACGTTTTTATTGTTTTACTGCCAGCTAAGAGTCGACTGTCTCCTGCCCAGTTTTAATTCCATTAGCCCATTCTTATATATGCCATAGAGCAGTCTCAATCCCAGGCATTCGTTCGCCTTTGTTTCGCACTGTGTCAGGCCGGGGGAATGTTTCACTGCCACAGAAATTGATTGATAATCAATTGAGAGGATTTTCTTGTGCGTATAGCAGGCGCACGCCAGCTCCTTTGCTCTAGCTGTAGTCCCAGTTATACCCGCTCATGGGTGAGGCAAATTGGAGTTGATTGGTTGTTGTGCAATGTTTGTCCTACAGTTGAGACAATGTATACCAATGTAGTGTTGCGAAACATCTATTAGGAATGTAGGATATTGGAGATACTGTATATTTTTTAGCTTTAAAGCTGCCTTGCGCATCTTTTCTTAGTTACAAATATATATTTCTTGAGCTACCCCAATCCTAGTTGAGCCCTCAACGAGTGTAGGGCAGTCGGTTGCGCCCGACTGAACTGTTCTTACTTGAACTGCCTGCGGTTTGGACTTGCTGCTAACATGATACGCTTTAATCTGGCCAAGACAGCATAAAAAAAAAAAAAAGAAGCGAGAGAGAAAGAAAGCATATTGCAATGGTGCGTATGGGTTGGTCATGCCACAAGTTGTTTTCTGTTCTGGTTGTTGGTTGTTGGGTCTCGGGCTTCGGGCTTCGGGCTTCTCGGTTCGAGCTGCGGGGCTCGGGGTACGGGTTCGAGCTGGGATGTTCCTTCCTGTTGCTCTGCCAGTTTTCTTTCGTGCCGCATTAAGTGCTTTAAGTAATTTATAAACGCCTTTTGCGAGGCACAACACAAAGGCAATAACAACTATATTGGATTGGTTTTTTGTTCTCTCGCCTTATGCTTTTCTTTCTTGGTTCGCTGTTTTTTTTTCTCATCGTCTGCTTAAGCTGCCCTTTACTATCTGCCTTGTAATTGTTGTGGCTTTGTTGTCGGCCGTCAAGAGTTTTATTTGTATATGTGTTAATCTAATGCGATTAGTCAGTTAACTAGCAGCATATCCTCAACCACTAAACATCGACAATTTCGGAAGTAGCACACGAATCGGATTCATTGAAATGTGTGAAGGGTCGGGGTCACTACATACATGAGCACATTCACAGCCTATTATGGGATAGAAAGAGAATTCATCTTCACTTTTAATGTAATGCGTGAGTGAACAGATAACTAACCATAATAGAACAGGCAAAACTTATGGAGAATGGGATTGCTCTTGCCTATTCGGCTGATGCCTCAATCTCTGGAACTGCAAAAGTTAGACAGTTGATTTTTACAACTTTTATTCTTGTTTACCTTACGCAACAAAATTTTATGATTTTTTTTCCCAATATCTCAACATTTTCTCCAATATCGATAATTATCGGTATATTAAATTAGTTTTGTTTGCATGACTTCAACACTATTCGAGTTAGGCATAAATAATTTGGTAAGTAACTTTTGGTCATAAAATCACACTTTGTATTTCAGTTAAACAAATGTCTTATAAATTCTACAGTGTTGATTCTTGGTACATACATTCATTTTAATGTATTATTCATGCGCTAGAAATTTCATTAAGATCTGCCAGACGGATCCCGAGTTCAATCAAGCCTTTGCTCCGCGTGGGAACTTTCGCAGCAGCTGTTCGCAATGACTTTGCTTATGTATATGCATGTAAACAAGAAGCCTTTAGGATGTCTCCTATATCACTCAGACTCGGGTGGGAAGCAATATAAATAGTCAGTCTTGGTGTTTGGTTTTACTACAACTCGGCTGTAGTTGTAATAACATTTTTAATTAAATTTCATGCCGACTTTTGAATGTCTTCGAAATGTTTGTGTGCACGGCCATGATGGGCATTTATCTCTGAGCTATTTTCAAAAGCAGGAAGTCGAAGCAACACAGGAAGGCAAATGTCTGCTGCCAGTGGCAGAAGTAATGTCTTGGCTGCACAGCTACGGACTTGCCTATCATTATTTGTAATATTTATTAAAGCTGAACTGAATATTTAGAGGCTCTGCCTAAAGCAGAATATACAAAAAAAAAAAAAAAAAAAAAGAAAAATAGGAGAAGAAAAGAATAATATGCCTACAAAGCAGAAATGCCTGGCAACTGAGAATGGCATTCGCAGCCTGCCAAAAGGTTCGCAGCTGTTGGCTCAGCTTCTTCTTCTTCTTTTTGTTGGTCTCCTATTTTTGGTAACGCTTAAGAAGGTAACAGCAGCAGCTGGAGAGTTTTCATTTTGAACTTCTTGCCCGAGACAAAACAAGTTATTTACTTGCAAATTGTTGGCTATGAACATTTATAGCCTGTTGCCTAATTTGCTGGCTTATAAGACTGGATATGGCAGGACTTTAAGCCGCTGCTTGCTCTTTAGTCTCAACTTTCAGACACGCTCACACAGTTTTGGGCAATTTTTCAGCATTTTTCGTTTGTCTCACTAATTATGCGTCTTTGCTCTGCTGACAGCTTCTATGCCAGGAATTTTCCATGTTGCGAAACTTTTCGCCTACAACAAATCTTTGTCGGGGGCGGTTTCATCTACCGAAACCAGCTGACGGATTGTCAGACAACTTTTCTACTTCTATACCGTTAGCTGCTCCCACAGACACACACCAACGCATATATATGTATGTATGTAAATCTCTTTCGTATATACATGCAGTTATATTTTATTATAGAAATGTGCTTTCGCACTCTCTTTTGTTGCATACTTCTCGGGTCCATTCAGAAGCTAGCTTTAATTTATGAAATTTCTGTTTTATTCCCGCTTTTGTTGCGGAACTCTATTGTTGTAGGAAATCGTCTCGAAATAGTTCTGTTTGCATTTAGATTATTTTCCCGAAATAAGCCTCAACGAATGCTATTTAACCTTTTTTCCTGTTGCTGCCATTGTGAAGCTGAAAAGGCTCCAAAGGCAAACCAAAACACAAACACAAATGTGCACCTTCATTTCCTTTCAAAGTTTTCTTTTAACTTACATACAAGGATTTTCCTAAGATTTTGCTGTGTTTAAGATTGTGTTTTTCTTCTGTGAACGGCAGCTAATCAAACTGTTCCCTAAGTGGAAATTACTTTAATGTCGACTTAATCATTTGATGCTGAAGTGTGCAGCATTGGGGAGCGTAGTATTTGAATATAATAAGCTTTAGC